TTGTAATCTATACTGAAGACTGTAGTCTTAGATCTTTATCAGTAAGTACTTCAAATCCTCTTCACTTTCAGAAAGGAAGGTTGGGTGTCATCTGCTATTGCAGACTGCTAATGAGCCTCCCTCCAATCCTAATGCTGCATTCTTCATATAGTCCAGCTTCTCAGATATTTTCACATAAAGTTTATTAGTGAGAGAGACACACAACCAGTATCAGTAATTGCCACAATCGTATTATATAACAAACTACCCTAAAACTTAGTGACTTAAAACAAAAGGTATTTATTCACACTCACACTTCCGGAAGCAGACTGGAGTGTTCTGATCTAGGCTGGGTGAAACTATGGCTGTGATGTTAGGTAAAGGTCCACCTGGGCATGAGGTTCCGCTGTGGATTGGACTCAGGTCTGTTCCACGTGTGGTCACTTTGTGACCAAGGCTGTAGAGACAGCAGTTTCCCAGAAGAAGCTCTTGTCTTGGTGATGGCAAAGGAACCAGAAAACAAGCTCATCCAAAGCTTTGGTTTGTGTCATGTCTGCTAACATTTCATTGACTAAAGCAGGCCACATGACTGAATAAGACTAAAGGAGCTGAGAAATCAAATAGATTCCACCTACCAAGAGGCCAAAGTAAACCACATGATCAAGACCAGCATTACTGGGGCAGGAAAGTACACTATTCCTCATGGATGTGAACGGGGAGGGGAGGGAATGTTTTGAAAATAAAATGATGTTGATGTTAAGTGTCGTCAAGTCGGTTCTGACCAATATCGACCCTGTATAGGGTTTCCAAGGAGCAACTGGTGAGCTTGAACCACAGACCTTACAGTTCAAACTGACTTTTCAATCCAGTGCCTTAACCCACAGTGCCACACCAGGCCTCCTGAAAATAATATAATCTACTGTAATTTCTGGTGTGGTGCTGTAGTATAAGCACAAGACTGCTAACCAAAGAGTTGGTGGTTCAAATCCACCAGCTGCTACTCAGAAACATTATACACAGTCGCTTTGCGTCAGAACCGATTCTAGGTCACTTAACAACAACAACTATACCTTCTAATATCTGCTTAGGTATTCTGTTCTATGAAACTCGAATTAAATCTACTCAGACCCCACCTGGCTAATAGTATCATCTTGTCAATCTGTCCAGGAAACCTCTAGCCTGGAGCTCCCCTCACCATTGAATTAGTTCAGTTTATGGATCTTATATGCATCATCCCTTGTTCCACATTTCTATCCCTTTCCTTGACTGCCTCTCTTCCCCTCCCCAACCCCACCCCAAAAATTGCACAGAAGATTTTACTGAACATTTGAAACAGGAAAGGAAATTTTATCTCTCCATAGTGCTTGGTCTTCTCTCTCTTTCTCAAGACTGTGTTTGCATTTCAACCTACACACAGCTTCTGAGTTAAAGAGTTTACTGAAGAATTCCTCTAGTCTCAGAAACCCTGAAGGTCTTATCTTGGTTGAGCCATACCTTTGTGCAACTTGGTTCAATTATTTTCATTCATTCAGCCTACAGGTATTGAGCACTTGTACCCTCCTGTGATAAATTTATAATCTAGTAGGTAAATGAATAATTTATGTATACTCTAAATACACTGGGTTTAGAGTTACTCAGCATTATTTATATTTGGAGCCAGATAACTTTTTGTTGTGGGTGACTGTCCTGTGAATCGTAGGGTATTTCACAGCATTCCAGGTCTTTAACTCCCCCTCTCCCAGTTGTGATAAACAAAATTATCTCCAGACATTACCATATATTCCCTGGAAGACAAAATCAACTGGGTTGAGAGTCCCTGATCTAACACATAGTAGACTGGGTAAGACTTCTGATAAACCAGAGTAACATGCTAAGAAATGTTCAGAGCAGAGATGTCACCACTGACCTTGACCAAAGTGGTTTCAATAAAGTGAGCAAAAGCCCAGTTAGAGTAAATTTAAGGAAAAAATGGGAGGACAACAATTATACACAAATTTTAAGAGAAATATGATTGTAAAGGAAGACCAGAATATTGGAGGGGAAGTGATGTCAGAAGAAAGGATTAGTTCTTTTTGCTACTGTTTTTTGTTTGTTTGTATTTTAAACATGAGAACGAATACTGCACTTGCATGCTGTTGAGAATGAGTCAGTGGAGAAAAGGAAAACTGATGCAAGAAAATAGATTAGAGACAAGAGAACATTCAGTGCAGGAGTGGCCTTAAGTAGGAGCATACACAGAGAACTCTTAACGCCAAGAGAGTAGACAGAGTATATGATGGTACGGTTTTGGAGATTGCCTTTTCTAATATGCTCAACAGTAGTTTCTCATCCCCCACATTAAGAATATTCTCAGTGTGCTTTCCTCATGGTTATCACATGTTTGTATTTTTCTGTTTTATGGTAAACATATCTGGGTCTATGTTCATTTGGAGGAGGTACATTTGGAAGTCAGGGTTGTCTTCATAATCCAAATACATAGCTGCAAAGTTTCATGCATTCAGAAGCTGTCTTTCTGATACCCACGCAGGAAAAAAAAAAAAAAGGTGTCTGAGGGACCAGAACCAAAAAAATCAAACCTATTGTCAAGTCCATCCTGACTCACAGCAACCCTGAGGGGCCCTAGTACGTCCATACTTCATGCCTGTATCTTGGCGGTCCTTCCCCTTCAGAAGATCTCTCAACTCTTTATTTTGGATCTATCTCTCATGGACTTGGTTACCCAGTTCCCAATGTAGTTTAGAAGTAGGGGGAGGAAGGAAGAGGAGGGAGAAGACTAGAATAGGGAAGCATGGACTCTGCAACAAAGTTTCCTGCATGATGGGGGAAGGCAGAAAGACCAAAAGCAAACATGAATGAATGAACAAATACATTGAGTCCAAACCATTCAAGAGACACAGCAATCTAGAATCTGTGGACAGGGGTAGATGCTCCCCAAATCCTGAAGACAGTGCTACATGGCTGTGCTATCTGAGTGTGCCAGCACACGCAGTGTTAACAAGGTGGGGAATTTGTGACTCTGTTATAGAACTCACTTGATAAGATTTTAGTTTAGTACAAAGGTTAGGAGTAGGCTCTGCAGATAGACTTCCTGGCTTGAATTCTAGCTTCAGATTCTGTGACATTAAACTAGTTCATTAATCTTGTTAAGTCTTAATGATCTCATCTGCAAAATGGCGATCCTCTACCTCATAGGATCATTGTTAAGGTTAAATGAGATAAATAAATGCAAATTCATAACTCAGTTCCCAGCACAGAATTAGTGTTCAATAAAAGTTAATGGCTAGGCTTAGCGTCAACCAAATAAATTGATGTTCAATAAATTAAGCTTTGTTGTTGTTAAGTACCATGGAGTTGGTTACAACTCATAGTGACCCTGCACAGGATTTCTGAGGCTGCAAATCTTTACGGGAGCAAAAACCCTCATCTTTCTCCTGCAGAACAGCTGGTAGTTTCGAACTTCCGACTTTGAGGTTAGCAGCCAGATTCATAACCAGTAAGCTACCAGAGCTCCTTAAATTAAAAGTAGTAGGAGAAATATATTGGTTACACACAATTGTTCTATGCCTCACAGAGCCCAACTTTGTTCTCCTGTTCACTGTGGTCCCTAAACTTTAAGCAAGAAATCAACAGATGCTGCCAAAACAAAATACAAAACATCCCAGGGGTCATGATGCTTGAGCTTCATCTTAAAACTAGATAGAGATAAAAGATTCTGTTATGTTCTGAGACATTATTATATGTAAGCCTAGCTATGTACTTAAAAGCTTGTAATATTTTATCAAATGGTTTGTTGCAAGGCATTATTTCAGGATACAAATGTCTTTCACATAACTGAAATGATCTTATCCTAAAGTGCTAATATTATATGCAAAAATATTCATCTAAAGTCCAGGAACAATGACCTGTTTTCAAATATTCAAGGTGGGAAAAATTACAGTACATTCCATCTCAACCAAAGCGACGAGAGCTAACTTCCTAAAGCACTACTAGATGCAGTAAAACATTCACTTTTAAGTAACAAGTTATCATCATGTTTGGATGTAAAAATGCTTCAAAACTTGTTTCTTTATCATCAAGCAATTAAGACAGGTGTTAAACATTCATTTGTACGCAGTAAAATATACAGTTTGCATGTTAAAAAAAAAAAAAGTTAATGGTTATGACTGTCATTTCACTGAAAGATTGCTGCTACTGAAACTTCTGTGGCTGCTGTTCTGGAATATTCCCAGAGCCTCCTGCAAACATTGACATGTACTTTTCAGAAAATACAATGGGCTTCAAAATGTTGGTTCTACATGAACGTTTTGAAGTCTCCTCATTTATAGGATGACTGAATACCGGAGAAAGGTCTAGGAAACTAGGAATAGGGGCAGTGCATTTGTTTCCTCTGTCTCCTCTTGTTTGGGGCAGTGGAGGCCAAGCCACTGAAGGGGATGTCAGCAGGCTCCCAGAATACTAAGATTTCTTTTTTAAAAGACTGACAGATGCATCACTCTGTGGCCAACTTGAAAGAAGAACATTTACTCTGAGTTAGCTAAGAAAATATGGAGCTATTTTCCTTCTGATACTATGTCCTGTGCTCTGTAAAAATTATCTTTCCCTATGTGGCTCTGTGGGCTAATGCATCAGACTGCAAAGTCCTTTGAACTGCAAGGTTGGTGGTTCAAGCTCACCAGCTGCTCCTTGGAAACCTTATACAGGGTCTCTATGGGTCGGAATCAACTCGATGATACTTAACGACAACAACATATAATATACACATTAATATGTTTGGAGGAGAGACACCAAAGTGGATTACTAAGCACAAGTAGCTCTGGATTGTTTTCCTTCAGCCTGTGGCAGAGCTGAAAATACAGTATGTGTTGTAATATAAAATCTTGGCCTGGTACCTCAGCATGATGTAAAATAGAGACCTCCAGGAAGGTCCAAGTCTCCCACCAGGAACAAGCTAACTGTTCTCTTGTGCATGCATGGCAGGCAGGACAGTAAAGTAACCTGTCCTCTGTTTGTGTGTCTTCCAGGCTGGAGCAGGAAATACAAGCTCTAGAAAGTGAAGAGTCCCAGATATCTGCCAAAGAGCAAATCATCCTAGAGAAACTAAAGGAGACAGAAAAATCCTTCAAGGACTTTCAGAAGGTGATGAAAACAAATGTGATTTCTCTAAATTATATCCAGGGGACAGTAAATCCTGGTAAAAATGGGACCAATGGGTGAAAAGACAAATTGGTATTGATGGAAAGTCTGAGCCACAAACTCTGTTAAATGAAGGATAGATGTGTGAGGAGCAGGTGCCATTCCTGAAGCTCAGAGTGGCCTGTCTTCAGGTATGGCTACTGGAAAACATAGAGAAGTCATTTAATTAACTACATACTGGAGTCCTGCTGTGGTGCTGTGGGGTAATGCACCAGACTGCAAAGCCATTTGAACTGCAAGGTTGGCAGTTCAAGCTCACCAGCTGTTCAAGCTCACCTCAGAAACCCTATACAGGGTCACTATGGGTCGGAATCGACTCGATGACACTTAACAACAACAACTCTGTGTACTATCCCTGGGCCATGCAAATGGCTAGCTTCCTTGTCTGTTAACTGAAAGGCTGGCAGTTTGAGTCCACTCAATAGTGCCTCAAAAGAAATGGGTGGTGATACACTTCTGTAAAATTAGTCACTGAAAACTGTATGGAGCACAGGTCTACTCCGACACACATGGGCTCACCATGAGTCAGGATCAATTCAACAGCAACTAGTATAGGTTACCTACTGTCCTAAACCATTATATGCTGGCTGCCTGAAAAGTCTTCTACTAAACTCAAGAATTCTCATTCAACAGATTACACATGCTTTATTTTTTTAGCCCTTTCTTTATGTGCATGCCAGAGATAAAATCCTATCAAATGAACATGAATTCCAAATACAAATAGTGTAAGTCTGTGAAGTTGTACTGTATATGAAAACAGATGGTACCATGCAGCAAACAGTAGACAACCCATAAAGACAACAGACTTTGAGTATCTCAGGACCTTCTTTCCATCATGTAACTCCCATTTCTATAGGTATCGATCACTGATAGGAAAGCAATATAATCAAATTAATTTAAATAGTTTTTCACTATTATCACTTCTCCAGTACAACTCAGGGTATTGCCAGATAAGCTAAGTAAATATCTATTGGGAATACTTCTGTAAGGTGGGGATGGTTATCCCATCCCTTCAATTTTGTGATTCAACTCAAATGTCCCAGAATAAACTACTGCATTTTCCAATCACAGTCAAATTCTGGGCATGGTCCAGAGCGTGGGAAGGTGGGAATATAGGTTAAATAAGAGTGAGATTATTTGTCAACACTTGTAGTAACTCTCAGCTCTGCTTTTGTTTCCACAGAGTTTCTCCAATACGGATGGAGGTAAGCACTTTCTATCCTGTCTATAGATGAATGTTTTTATCCTGATCAGCTTAGTTGGAAAGGAATGCTGATTCTGTCCATGGGTTTCATTAACACAGGCTCACTGAAGAGTCATTTGGTTTGTAAGGGCATCAGAAGGAAAGACAGTGCTGTCTGCAGAGCATTGAAGAGGTTCCGACTCCATGTCTTCACTGCTTCTCTTCTTCTGGGACTGTATCTTGACTTGCTATACTGAATCTATAAAATTGACCTAGCCATTCTACCTCCTCCCTCTTAGGTCCCACAGGCTCTCTGCTTGGGCTTTTTGAAAAAGGTGCTCAGCAAAATAGAGCACTATGATCAAGACTAAAATCCTTGTAGGAATACGTGCCTTTTGTCTTCCTGGTTAGCATCCAGGGTTGGAATACACATCAGACAGTCATATCCTAGTGTCTAGGGAACCTTTCTAAGGCCTCTGGTTTTTCTTTGAATTAGAAAACTGCAGTTTCTCCAGCCTTCCAGGGAAGCAGGCCTGCCCAGGACTTCCCTCCCTGGGTGGGATGCTTGGCCTAAAGCACATCAAGGTTGACAGTAGGGCTCTGGCTTGCTAACCACATCAGAGTAAAGAAGGCTTTCTCCTCTTTTCCTTACGTGGAGCTGTGGATGAACCGTGGCCTTGTGTAGCTCTCATCCTTCACCTTGATCTCAGCTACAAATCATGAAAACCACTTGAATCCCACTTTCACTTTGACCCTCAGTTAGACCAGCCAAGGAGCTCTGGTAGTGTAGTGGTTACAAGTTGGGCAGCTAACCTCAAAGTCAGCAGTTCGAAACTACCAGCTGTTCTACAGGAGAAAGATGAGGCTTTCTGCTCCCATAAAGATGTACAGCCTCAGAAACCCTGTACAGGGTCACTATGAGTCGGAACCAACTCCACAGCATACAACTTCCACTTCCAATTTAGACCTGTCAGAAGGATCATATACCATCTCCTTACCTTGTCCTTATAAGGTTAACTTCTAAACTCAGAAGATTATTAGAATCAGAATAAGAGTAGACATTGGGGTTTTTTCCCAGAGTCATTTGGAAAAAATATGGGGAAAGGTTTAATAACGAACTCATGCATAATGCATTTTTCTGGATTAGCCAAAGACATTTGCAATAAGAATCCGTCTATTGAGCTGATATATATATATATATTTTTTTTTTTTTTTTTAATTTATTTTTTTTTTTTCCCCAACAAGTGAAGGCTAAGGGGCTAGATTTTGGCTCCCTGGATGATCTTCAAGAAGGCACTCAACCAAACTTCCGGCTCTCAGCACAGAGACTGGGACGAGTCAGAGTGTGGCCAAATCAGGACACTTGCTCTGTACTTTGGGGTTAGGACACAGACTGAGAAGGTGGCCTTGTCTGTTTGGGGGAAGAGGAGCAGACTACACTGGTGCTAGAAAAGATCTGAGGCACTTCACACAATCAACAATGATGCAGTGTCAGGCTGGGTTGGAGATTGGGTATTGCCACATAGACACTCGGAAACCTGAAGGGTGCATAGTGCCCTTTTCTGATTACACTTTTTTCCTCTTTCCTTTTCAAACCAGGGCATTTCCTAGACTTCTCCCTGATGATATAAGAAGCAGAGATGCTCATATAAAGACCTATGTAGTCTGTAACTTGTTAGCAAGCAAAAATGAAGCCATGTTATACTCCTACCACTGTCTCTGAACTTTTCCTCTCATTTTCTCTTGCATTCATTCTTCACCTTTTAGCAACTTGGAGAGCTGAAAGGGGAGCCTGCAAAGACAGTTTCCCTGTTTCTTCTGTCTCTGTCTCCTTTTGCTAGAATGGGTGAGCTCAGGTTTAAGAGGATACAGAAGTCTTAGGGACCTCAAGAAATAGTCCAGGGGAAAGTTTCTATGCCTGTCAACCTAGATTCTGATTCTTGCTTTTGCTGCTTACACCTAAGCCTAGAATGAGCTGTCCATCACATCACATCTGCTGACAAAGAAATTTGAAGGAGGAAACAGGACGCATCCTTCCACGAATGTGATCAGTGTTTAGATTGCACTGTGGTCTGAGGGGACACACTGAAGCACATCCCAACTGAGGGACTTAGGGATATTTCATTGCCAAGGCCTATGTATAATCAACCAGTTGTTATTACTTAGAACTAACAAAAAGAGCAAAAATGCTTTAAGAAAAGTATCTAACTCCTGAGACACATTGATGACAGAAACCAGGTCGAATTATGAATCTATAACTGTACAGGATGCTGCAGATAATCAGTAAAAGCATCCCCAGTTTATGAGGCTGTAGGGGTGTGTGTGTGTGTGTGTGTGTGTGTGTGTGTGTGTATGTAATTACCTCACTGTTGTTACCGCATCACCATATATGCTTATCAAAGGAAAGACAGGTATAGAGCTGAATCTCCAATGGCTTTTTTGTTATGTGGTAGTCCTAGCAACTGTAATAATTTATTCCAACCTTGAGTAGAATATCCTGGCCATGTAAATTCTTGTCCTGCCTGCAGGCACAGTACCTCATGTAACTATAAGTTACATATAGTGTGTTGTTGTTGTTGTTATTGTTAAGTGCTGCTGAGTCAATTTCAACTCACTGCAACCCTATATAGGGTTTCCGAGGAGCAGTTGGTGAACTTGAACCATTGACCTTGCAGCTCAAACCCACCTTGTGGTCCAGTGCATTAACCTGCAGCACCATTTGGTGTTAACTCCATTCTTTACCTAGTGAGGAGCTGGTCTGAAACCATTGGCAAAACTGGCCAAGGAAGCCATCTGTCCTGGACATGTCTTGGATTCCATCCCATACTGGCCTGTGGTGGCATAGTGTCTTCTCCATATCAAAGCATTTATATTAATTGTTGGGACATCTCAGTGTGTCTTCAGTTACTCCCAAGTCATGCTTTAAGGACAGCTGTCATCTCTGCTCCTTTATCTACTTACGTTCTTCATTTTGTTGTTAAGTGCCATAGAGTTGGTTCCAACTCATAGCAACCCAGTATAGGGTTTCCAAGGAATGGCTTGTGGGTTTGAACTTCCGACTTTGTGGTTAGCAATCCAGTGCCACACCAGGACTACCTAGATGCTATAAATATTTTAGCAGTACAGTTCATACCTACCAGCTGCTCCCTGGGAATCCTATGCAGGGTCATTATGAGCCGGAACCAACTCAATGGCACTTACCAGCAACAGTAGCAAGATTAAGAAATATCACTCATCTTTAATTTCTGTTCTGTGGTTGACCTTCTCTGACAGTGGCCAGACTCATTGTAAACCACTCTGACTTGGTAAGAGGAAAACAGTTTTCAGTTGAAGATATTTTTCCCACTAAAGCTTTGAGGCTGCAAAAGTGGCATGGAAGCTGCGTCTGACCTCCTCCAGTTTCACAAGGAGGAGGAGAGTCCCCAAGCCAAGACTGATTCCTTTGAAGTCTAACAAGGATGTCTTCCACTTTCCAACCTTCTTTACCCTCTTTTGGCACCGCCCATCCCTCCCAGAGCACTGTCTTCTTTGTTGGGCTTGATAATCTGTTGTAATGGCCACACAGAACTCAGGATCAGAACTCAGGGTATAGTAGTTCTCCCGTCTGGAGTGCCTTTTCTCAACTGTCTCACAGGCGCGCCTCTCTCATTCTGCGCCTTTTAGCCACTTTACCCTTGGCTTCTGCCCTGTTCTGATTTACAAAGATCCCTTAGCACTGTGGATAGATACCCAAAGGGCGTATTCTGCAAGCCAGCCTCCTGCCCAAAGGCCTCACTAGGTTTGTGAGCCAGAAAACCCTTCCCTCTCTGTCTCTCTGTGCTGGCTGCCTCTGCTGCCAGCACTTCTCCATTCAGAGATCTTGTGCTCTGCCAGCGACTCTTCTTTCTTAATGCACTTGAGATCCTCTGTTTCTGCTTCTGAGATGACTCATTTAAAACCCAATGGAATGGGAAAACCCACACTAGTGTCCTGTACTCCCCACTTGCAGGATCCTACATAATCATTTGGTGGGAGTTACAAAGACTATGGCTAGAAGAGCCATATCAAGTAAATCCACTTTACCACAAGAGCCCTGCTTGTTCTTCCTCGTGCTGATGTAGCAGAGACCCCTGGCTGCATAACCTTGGAGTTCATCATTTAATGGTATATCAGAGGGCACTCTGTCTTCCTCCTCATGCCGCACATGCCATGTAGCCCCAGCCCTCTACAGCTGTAGAACTCAAGCTTCTTCTTGTCAGTGTACACTTGGCAAAAGTATCTCTGTCACCCCCTCCCAGGTCTAAAGGAGGAATCTGTCTCCTGGAGGAAGTTGAGACACAAACAGTAGGAATCATTTACTTGTTCTTTCAGGTGCAGAATTCCACCTTCAAGTGGCTTTTGTTTCTAGCTGCTAAAAATTTCAGTATACTGAGATGCCCTAGAAATGCTATACTTAGCATAGGCTTTACTAGGCATATGTCCAGTCTGTGAGCTCTTTCTTGTTCTTAGCGGCTTGAGTCTCCATCTTCTATGGCTCCTATGAGACTTACTGAGATCTCATCTCCACAGATTTATGAAATCCTCAGTGAAATTCAAAAGTTCTTTAAAGTTGATCTGTCCCCTAAGGTGTCCATTTAGCCCAGTGTGCTCCTTCATTCTTCCCCTGGGCCACAGTTGCCAATCTCAGGACTGGCTTCACCCAGGCTGCTGCTCTCCTGGGCTCATGCTAGTTTTAGGCATCTACACTTCCCATAGCTTCCTGCAGTGAAAGGAAAGAAGATCAACATAGAGAATAATGTACAACTTCAGCTATATGGCTATACACAGAACCTCTGGCTCAATCCAGGGCCATTTTCAAGGGGATCCCTACAAATATTTTCCCAATTTACCTTCATCTCAAAATGGCCCATTTCCTTCCTGGGGATGAGAGGAACTTCAACCAGATCTTCTCTGCCTAGGACCCAAGCTTAACCAACACACATGAGGCCCCAGAGAGAGGAAACTTGAACTTTTCTCTAACCTGAGGCCTGTCTGCCTAATCCTAATTTCCTATTCCTCCTCCCTAAATGGCGATTGTTGCAAACTCCATTCTCTTATAGGAACTTCGCCTGCAATAGAGTAATCTTTGTCCTTAAAACCTAATGTTCCAATATCAGAACATTCTAGATTGTTCAAACTCACACACAAATCAGGAAGTAGTCTACGCAATATAGAGCTAATCTTTGTTGTTGTTAGATGACATCAAGTTGGTACTGACCCATAGCAACCTTTTGCATAGCAGAACAAAACACTGCCTGACCTTGGGCCAACCTCACTACTGTTGCCACGCTTGATTCCATCGATGCTGCCACTAGGCCAATCCATCTTGTTATAGGTCTTCCTCTTTTTCTCTGACCCTCCACCTTACCAAACTTTTGACAGCCCATGGCACCTTCAATATTCTCCTCCAACACCATAAATCAAAAACATCAATTCTTCTACAGTCTTCCTTATTCACTGTCCAGCTTTC